AATATGTGTAAGTATGAGTGTACATATGTATATGTATGTTTTTCAGCATACTGTCATAAAATATTATTTATCAGATATAGATATAAGGATAATAATTTTCATGATGGTTTAGCACTTGCCTAGGACATTTCATCCTAAATGTATTGAACCTAGTTAACATTTAATTTTGAATTTAATTAAGGTGGCCTCTGGAATGAAACAGATTTTCTGGTTAAGTATTATGAGTTCTAAATTTATACCCCAGAGGGCAGACTGTTTTATGTTGATAAAAATCACTTGTCAGCTTCAGATTCTGTTTTAAGTAAAACTTTCATGCCTTTAATTGCACATTTATTTTGACACATTTCAATGCTATAGCATAGTCTTGATCAACAAAACAAACTTAAGAATTCTTTGGCAATTTTTTAATGTGATATTTTCAAGGTCTGTAAAACCCATTTCTGCATAATTGACTATGACTAGTAATGCTCACACCCTAGCCCTTGAACCTGACTTTAAAAAAGCCAAATGTATTAAAAGCTGTCACCACAAATGGCAAAACATTCATAAAACTTGGTTTACTTCCAAAAGTAAGTTTATCCTCTAAAGTTGGGTTATTTTGGAACTGTGAATTCTGTAAACTTCTGCTAAAACAATCAAACAGTTTATGATCTTCACTGAGGTACTGAAATCCATCCAAAAACCCAAGACATCTTTTGGTTTACTTAAACAGAAAGCAACAGCTGTTTCTTGAGTAGTAAGAAACTCCTTGAAAAGAGGAAAAACTGGTAGAGGAAGAGAAGAGGAAGAAGAAATTAACCAGATGATGTAAACAAATGTTTTTGGTTTTAGCCAAGGGGATGCTGTCAGCCAGTTAGGCTCTAACTTCCATGGTCTTTAATTGTAAATCTTTTGGTTTCCAGAAATTACACGTGCCTTATACTAATTTTCCCCCTGGAAAACAAAAGTATAAAACAACTTTAAGTAAAAATTTAAGTTCTTTTGTTTTCAAATTTCTTGGTAAAAAGAAATACAAATAATCCACCAAAAACATCTCAGCAACTGCTGTTGGCCATAGTAAAACCTATTATCCTCAAACTTTTACTTGTCAATATGTTATTTTTTTTATTTTCACATCTCTGTCACATTTTCACATTTCACACATCTTTTATACAATTAGGTATCCTTCTTCATTCTACCATTAAAACATTTGACCCTCACTGTGATATAAGTACCAGGTAGGATCCTGGGGATATGAAAATAAGAAACACCTAGATTTGGGCCTCTAAGATTTAGCATCCTATTTTCTAAACAGGATGATGAATTCTTTGAAAGCAAACACCTATTTACTTGGAATCTTAGAAAAGAGAATCTTAGAGTCAAAATGAACCTTAGAAGATATCATCTATACCAATCCCCATACCCAAAGTCTCCCAATATGAGATCCTTCCACCCACCATGAGTCAAGGTGGTGAAATGATCACAAATTATTTGCCTCCTTCCTCCTAAGACTCCGTTACAATGACACCCATAAACAAGTATAGTGTGCTAGCTACACACCAGGCACTACTGTATAAATATTACATGTATCAACATATTTTAGCCTCATTACAGCCCTAATGAGGCAGATACTATTATTATCCCCACCTTACCTAAGAGGAAACAGAGACATACAAAAGTGGTAACATCTCGGTCAACTAGTCATCAGAGGGGAAAGGATTGCACTTGGGCAGTCTCGTTTCTGAGTGTGTTCTTCACTATGCTATACTCCGTTCCTGTAGATGCAAAAAAAAAAGTTTGTAAAATTTTAAAAGTTAAAAAAGTTTACAAACTATTATTTTTCACCCTATATATTTAAACCACTGATATTACTTATACTGTCTTCACCTTATTTACCTAAGTTTAAAAGGCCAAAATAATTTAGGACTTTTTCAAAAATTCCCAAAAGAATGTGCCATGGATTCTAGAAGTAATTTCAGAAGAGCAGTCTTAGTATTTAATGCATAGTAGCTTTGTTGGCAGGGAGCAGTCATATTATGGTTACACTTCTCGTCAAGAATGATAGCGTACAAAAGTTCTGTGTCTCATGGACCACATACGTCAACATATCTGGGAGAAACCCTGGCTTCTCAGATGTCCCTGCAGGGTAGAGACAAATGTCACAGGTATGAAAGAAAGGAAAGATCTGTTCGTTTCTACCTGAAAGTTAACAGAAATAAGAGTATAGCAAGCAGACATCATAATCAGCAACATAAACTTGACTGGCTTATATTTTAAGTACTTCAGGACAAGCTATCTGAGAAATTCACCTTGAATGGGCCAAGACTAAGGTTAAGAGGTATCCTATCTTTTCTTTATCTTTTCACTATTTGATAGGTACAATTCTCTTTAATGAAAGCTCACCATGCTCTATGTCTGATTTAGTTAACCCAATTAAGATCTGCCTCAAATGTTGAACATGTTTAGCAAAGCAAAAAGTTTGAGTTACACATTTTACAAGAATGAATGAACCTCAGTTGAGCTGCAGTAGGATGAGGTGTGCTGCTCTAGAACTAGGTGTGTCTCCTAGTTCTATGTAACTAATGCCTTGTTCCTGCCTGTTCTCATGTCTCCGCATTAGCCAGTTCAAATCCAGGAAGTCCATGCCCTCCCGTCAGGCTGATTTTGTGAAAAATTAAAGGAGCAAGAACGTCAGTAGAATTCCTTATCTTATGGTGTAACGCCACCGTAACTTGTAATTAGTGAAGTGCAGAGAGGCGCACTCATGTTTGCTAAGTCTTGTGAGACTTCTCAAGTGGCTCATTTTCTCTACAACTGAAAAAAAGGGAGACACTGATACTGAGAAAGACCCTGTGTCTTCAGGGTTGACTTGGTTAATTTGTTTCCACCTGAAAGAGAATCTGTTTAATTGCTGAGTGTCTTTCTCTGATTGTTTTTGTTCCAATAGAAAAATACCCTCCATGGGAGAAATGGATAAGTTATTGGAAATTATGATTATTCCCATAATATTGACTTTTCTGATTATCACTCTTTGATATTTTGACTTCCTGGGTAGAAGCATAAGAAGTGTAAAATTCCAGCCTATGATAAGGCTCTTTAGAAGAAAATACCGTGTTCAGTAAATCACACATTTGAGACTATCTCTTTCATCTGTTTCTAGTGCCTTGGAGGTATTATCTGTGAGTTTTAAACTATAACATTTTAAGTTTGGAAATTGCCTCTCTACAGACTGTTTTGGGGTTTTCTTTTTTTACTACCAGAGTTCAAATAATACAATGTCCTTGCCTAAGAAATGTTTTTTTAATGAGGTTTCATATATATATATATCTTTTTAAATATTTTAACATTAACACTAGATCTCACCTATCTCACACTTAAATAACATGTGACTTATACCTGTGTAATGTTCAGTTGTGGGACAACAATAGAAATTCGTGGACTAGGGGTTGAATGGTTTAACATCTAATGCTAGGTCAGTCATTAATTAGCCAAATTATTTGTCCTCGCTGAGCTACTGTTTCCTCTGTAAAAAATGATGGTGTTATAATTCTTGGTATTCTCCAATGTCTCAAATTCTATGATTCTCTAATACTTTGACTCCATGTGCCATTTCATGTCTCCTGGGAAATCAACATTTTTTAAAAAGTAATTTTAGAAATAATGAAACCATCGAGGATATTTTTTAAACCTTAGTTCAATTGTAATTTATCAATGAATTATCTTTTAAGAACCTCCTCTTCCAGAAATTACAATGCACCTTTTTTTTTTTCTAACTTAGCTTTTATTTATTTATTTTTTCTTTTTTGCTAGTCATGCTTTGTCAGGCAGCGTATCACTTGCATGCCTTTTCAAGCATTTGCAGAATTGTATGGCATTTCCAGAATGCCACATGAAGAAACAGGGCAATTTCACCATTTTATATAGATAAAAGATAGCTGTACTAGTTGGTGGCCTGATTCCTACAGCAGTCCTGAAAAGCATTTGCTTTCCTCTAGTAACTGGCTACCATGGTGGTAATGGATGACTTTTAAACAGCTGTCACAAGCTGAAAACAAAACAAAATTCAAAGCCACCCTCCCACACTATGTAAAGACAGCTTGCCAATACCTAAAACAAATCCTTCTTGGAGCATTTTAACAAACAAACTTTTTTTTGGTTGTTGTTACACTGAAATAGAAACTCATAAAACTCAAACAAAGGGGCTTCATGTTTCCCACAGACCTGAACTGCCTAACTTTTCTAATGGGATCACAGCAATTAGTGGTTTCCAGATGCATTTCAAATGTGTTAAGTGCCTGCAGGAATTGGCTTTTAAAACATACACAAGTCTTCCAATGCTTCAGTCTCAAGAATCTACTTTAATCCCCACAAGGGACTATGATGTCTGTATAATGTTTGGCCAGTTTGGTGCTTAAGTTACAATTAATATTAAATAAGAAAAAAAAAGTGGAAAATGGAAAAAACTTTGTGTCTTACATACATCTCTAAATTTCCTACTTCTTTTTTAACAATCACATTACTAATTCTTTGTACCCTGGAAATCATGGAAATAATCACTAACTCCTATGGGAGAAAAAGTTGGAATGAATGTGGTTCTGAGAAGAAAGCTCTTGGTGTCATTGGGTCATTAGGCAATCCTGGAAAACTCATTCGTAGACTGTGGCTAATTGAACTACAAACATGTCAGTCTGACAACATTAACAGTCTATGACTTGTGCATTGGAATGTTCAGCTTTCTTCACTTGCTCCTGGACAATTTCTCCCTGTCATGAGATTCTTCCTTAACTGGGAGACTGGGTCCTTATGTTTACACCCAGTATTTTACCTCTGATGGAAACTAGACAGAAGGCAAGTTCAGTCTGTCTTCTCATAACTGGCAGTGCTGAAAACAAGACATGAGAATAAAAACATGGCTTTTGAGAAATATGCGTTTAATAGGTGGTGTCTCCTCCATCGACGGATATATTTATCTTCCCTTGAGATATGGGCAAGTCTCAAGTCCTTCATTTTTTTTCTTTTAGATTCCATGTGGACCACTCTTAAATAAAAACGAGAAACACGAAGAGAAACTGGTCATGTTCACCAATCAGTCAGAAGATTCTGAAAGGTAATTGCAGATACTTTATTTAAAGAATGTATGCCTCTAATAGAAGTATTCTAGTTGGAGCACTTCAGCTTTCAGACAAAAGGTTTGAGTCTACTTAGAGTAGATGAGAACTCATCTGGTGTTAGTCACTCAGTCATGTCCGACTCTTTGCGACCCCCATGAACTTTAGACTGCCAGGCTCCTCTGTCCACGGGATATCCCAGGCAAGAACACTGGAGTGGGTTGCCATTCCCTTCTCCAGGGGATCTTCCCAACCCAGGTATTGAATTGGGGTCTCCTGCATTGCAGGCTGATTCTTTACCATCTGAGCCACCACGGAAGCCCTGGAACTTATCTGGATACAGATATCCAGATACAGCTATCAACTCGTTAGTTGATAAGAAAGCTGACATTGTGGATAACATCATGGAGCATTTGAACACATTTGATATTTTTTAACATGTTTGGTAAATTTCCCTTGACAAGTTTGGATCTTAAGATAACTTCTCTTGAAGAGCACACATTTTCTCCTAGGAAGCAACCTATTTCGTTAATAAGATGAAGAGTAGCTATATCTTCTCTCCTGAGTTGTTAAATCCTTAACTCAGGTATAGGGTGAGAAATTTACTCATCCCCTTACCAAAAAACTCCTCCTTCAGTCACTTGCTATATTCTATGATCATTTCTGGCTTTTCCCAAGCTTCATTCTATTCATTGACTCATATAGTTATTTCTTTGACATCTTATTTGGCACAAGATGTTGTGTCAGCTACTTCTAGATGGTGAATTGGATCCAGTCCTTTTCCTCTAGCTGTCTGCAATTTAGAAGTAAAATACCACACATACACATACACCCCTAAGTATAATGTATGTTGAATGTTTTGTCTCATAAAAGAGGCACAGATAATCTGCCCTGAGATATGACAGGAAGGTAAGAATCCTATTAATGAGCATTAAGATATAGGTGAAGGATTTATTTGACCTAATTTCTGGCCAAAAAAAAAAAAAAAATAAGGGGATAGATGGAAAAAGAGAAAAATGAAAGACTATTCCAGGCTGAAGGCAGAAAGTATACAAAAAGTTGTGTGGGTAAATTAAGGACTTGTATTGGACCAGTGAGCACTTCAGTTTGACTTCCACATCCAGTATGGAATACAAACTACATCTTGAGCGAGAGACTAAATAGCTGAGGGTTAATTATACAGGCCAATATTTCTCTGTCTATGAAGACAACTTCTTTCAAGTGAAGGGTAATTTAAAGAAATAATTACCCTCAGGTTCTCAACTCAGGGGTACTCAAACTTGGATTCTTATAACCTGTGGATCTGGAGACATAGTCTCAGGATTCTTAGATTATGAAATTTTTTCATTAGAAGAAGCTCATGCGTACTTCCACTGTGAAAACACAACTGTGCACAAGGGAAGCCATTAAGATTTCTGAACAAGGGTTCACAATCAGCTAATCTGGTCACAGTGTCTGAAATTGACAGAGGGGACAACCAGAAGTTTGAACATATGCAGAAATGCTGATTTCTCCATTCCTCTCTACCAATTGTATTCAGTATCAATAACAAGCATTTTAGCCTTTAATTATATAACAAACATTTTACTATGTGCTACTCTTTATTATTCTATAATTTGTGCTGTATGTATAAGTCTTTTCCTCTTAATAAGATGTATCTACCTCAAGAAAAAGAAATTGGCATACAACAATATAACCCACTTTAGCAGTAGGTCTACAATAAGCATTGATCAATTTCATATAAGTTGTTATAAAATGTGTAAGTAAAATAGGAATTCACAGAAGTAGTTTGAGGATTAACTGATTTTATTGACAACCTCTAAGATACTGTAGATATTACAGAAGCATAGAAGACAAAATATGACATTGAATGATTTCTAGGAAAGATGATACCCTATTCTCCTTTGGTAGCAAAGGTCAATATTTGGCAAATTTTACCAGTTTAAAAGAAAATAAGTGAAAGAAAGGAAAGGAAAAAAGAAGAGAGGATAAAAGGAAGGAAGGAAGGCAGACAAATCTATTGTTTCTGTGTTTTGAAGGTACGTATACCCTATGTAGCTTTATATACCCTACAAAGCTTTTCCTTCTGTATAACCATGATGCAAAAAGGTAGGGATTACCCCCTTCTCCCCCTCTTCCACACACACACCATTTTCTTCCATGTGGAGAATTATAAAGACTGTAAGCCCCTGAGTCCCATTCTATTGTCTCCTCTCCTCAGCAACCCAAATTAATGTTTAGATTCTCTCCATTTACCTATGATGAAAATTACTCAGAATTTAGTAGTTAACATATTTTTTTCCTACAGTAGTAAAATTTTTGTTTTTCTAAGAGAATGAGAGAGATAGGTCCTTTGACTGTAATTTAAAGTGCTCAGGAGATGGTTTTCAGGTTAATGTTTTTAGTGTATGTGACTTGGGGTCCAGAAGAAGGATAGGTGGATGAAGGCTGCAGTCCATGCCTTCATCTTAGGGTGAGAAAGACAGAAGAAAGGAGGGCTGTGAGAGACCACAGGAAGGGAACCAAATAGTGAGTGCTGGTCATCTTCCCCTACTTTTCTCCTAAACCATTTTAGGTTCTGCAAGGGTAAAATTTGCCACCTCATGAAGGTGATACACTAGTATCATGGTTGTCATACCAAGCTTCTTTTTAAAGTAAAGGAGCAGAGGAAATAACTTTGATCCCAGTGAGAAACTATCACAGTAAATTAATATTTTGTGGTTTTTATATTTCCTGTTAACAGAATCTCAAGTCACATTATTTAAAAAGCAACCCAGGGGACTTCCCTGGTGGTCCAGTGGTTAACACTTCATCTTCCAATGCAAGGAGTACAGGTTTGATCCCTGGTCAGAGAACTAAGGTCCCACATGCCTCAAGGACAAAAAACTAAAACATAAATCAGAAGCAATACCGTAACAAACTCAATAAAGACTTGGAAAGAAATGGTCCACGTCAAAAAAAAAATAAAATCCCACTCAACGTATGATGATCCTGGGGTCATCCTGGTTTTGATGTTCTAAGACCAGCTCCTGTTTGAATTTTTCTAAAGCAAATTTTTTTCCCTTGTTCTAATGTTCATCTTAAGAAATGTAAGTATTTTTTTAAATAATGTATTCAGAAAATTATAATTATTACCTAGCAAGAAAAACTATTATGATTCATTATAGACTCAAGTAGAGGTAATCTCAGTAGAGTAAAATGAATGTTAAATTCCCATGACATACGCCCTTTAACTGGCATGAAACCCATTCATGTTAGCACTTGTTCATCCTATGTATTGAACACGGTCAACTACAATCTCTGTTAATTCATTGTCTTCTGGGAACAATGTACTGGTTTTGAACACTATACTGGTTAAGGACCTCCTGTGTCTTTCCCCATTCGAAGCATTTAAATGTCTTTATGTAAAACACTGGTGGGCTTAATGAAAACTAAACAACAGGCTTTTTTGCCACATGAATAGTACACTCCCCTCCAGATGTAGTATTTGGCAGCCAAACAGCTGCTGACTATTAAAGGTCCCTTAAAAGCTTCATTTTTTGCTTATAAAGGGAATAGTAGTGTAGGGACGTTTATGGGGTGATAGGCAGATGTTTTGGTTGGAGCAAGACTATGTGGTAAGCAAGAGCTAACACGATCATTTTTATGATATTATCAGCATTTTTACAATTTTTTTGGCCTCTGTTTTTAACCTACTTCTTACCTGACTCTAAATTAAACTGTTCTGGAAGGGCAGAATAAAAGCCCAGTTATACAGTTGCTATCCACATGGTGAAGAGAGAAGTTAATGGTATCATGTGCTTGCTCAGACACACAAATTTTCTATCCATTCAAATTGGTTCATCAGATAAAAGAGAAATTAATTTTGAAGTGCTGAGTAAGTATTTTAAAGACTCACTGAACCTCACAGATCACCATCTATTTTTTTCTCATAAATTTTGCTAACTCTTAGTCATACTTTAAATAGTTTCAGTATTAAAATTCATAAGACAAATCTGTCAGTTTTTCAGAAATTATATTTCTTCAAACTAATAAATATCAAAGTTACATTGTGCTTCTAGACAACAGTCTAATTAAATCTCTTCTCTTTCCAAAATGAGAAAGTGGCATCTCAAGCATGTGTTTATGTGTAATATATTGCATAAAATTGACTTTTATTGGATGGATACATTCACAGTGACTTAAGACAGGGGGCTTTTAGAAAACTTGTGTTTTCAGTCAGACTCCGTAAAGCATATTTCGGACAAGGTTTTTTTTTTCCGTGCAAACAGAACCCATGGGATGAACATAGACCTTCCACTTACTAAGGACTAGCTTAAACAAAATGCCCAAATATCCACAGTATATCTTTCGTCCTGAATGTTTTTAATACTTCATGCCTACATAACTTTTTGTTTGATTCAGTGCAACAATCATTCCTAAAGTTCTTGCTATATGCTAGGAGGTGTTTGGGGAAATACTGTTGGAAAAAATACCAAGTTAGAATTCTCCAAAGGAGCGAGCTACTTGTCAGTTATCTAGGAAGAACCTCTCAGCATGAAATTTTGTCTCTGGAGATTGAATCTGCCAGAATTTACCTCAGCAGAAACACTTTTGGTATTAATTGTGGAGGCATAGAGCTCTCTTGGAAGTCTAACTAAGCCCCACTCAGGCCACAAAAAACATATAGCCAGCTGAATGAGTTAAAAGTCTGTACTTTCTGTGTATGGCAGCTCTTAAGAGTTGCCCTTTTTTTGCAGAAGGCTTCAGAGTTTAAGCTAATGGCGTGTCCTCTGATGTGGTTATTAAATACCTGGACCCTTCTAAGGCAGTACATTTAGTTTTCATGGCTTGAATTTGACACAGTTCAAAGGCAAGCAACAGGACAGAAGATATTGTGTTAGCAAAATTCCAGTTTTCAGGGCAATTTAGAAGCAACGAATTGACAACTCTCTTTATGCTGCCCTGATAGGGAGTTGTATCAAAACACTAAGTGAGGAAAGGACACAGAAAAATGAAG